TTCTTAGCCAAACAAAAATTATTTTGATGTGAAATGGGCAGTACTGAAGAACGGCAATTTCATAGGTAACCTATTAACCACTTGAGAAGGTCCATTCCCATAACCTTAAAGATAGAGCGATTTTAGTATCTGACTTAGTTATTTCGATATCCACATAGCCTTACAACCATAATTTCTCACTGAGGCGTACATTTAATATTATTTTTACGGTCACAGCATAGAGAATCTAAAAAAAAAATGTTCAAAAAACACAAAAGATATATTTTTATAAGATAAGGGTAGGTAACAAACGAGCACGCAGTACACCTGATGGTAAGTGGTTGCTATGGCCCATAGACATCTACATCTATCCTCCATAACGAATCAAAATACAGATGACCCATTCATTATCATCATTTCGTTTTTTTATATGTATGGAGACATTAGTTTTTTTTTAATATATTACATAATTAATGTTGTTTGTTTAAGTTTCTTAAATGTTAAAATAAAGTAATGAGCAATACAATGTCATGTTGTATTTTTTTTAACCCCCCCTCTTAGTTTAATCGTAGTTTAGTTAAGCCCTATCTTAGTTTTTTTCTATCAAGCAATATATCACCGACGTCTCACAGACACAATTCAATGTACACATATCGTCTTAATTTTTTTAAGTTATATAATATGTATCCAATTCCGATTATTAGGCTACACATATATATTCCGTGGGAGTCGCCATGCCGTATGAGGCGGGGGAAATGAAACAGGAGATGGGCAGCAGCATCCTTCTAACAACACAAAATAATAAAAAATTGCGGTGCCAGCTCGCCGGCCAAGCGTGACATCTATGGCAAATATCACTCCTATGAAGCAATTTATGGGGAAGGACTATTTTCAGTAGTGTTCTTTTGATAAGCTGTATATAATACATGAATGAACGAATGAATTAGATCTTTTGCCCAGCTTGTATAATAGATAGCATGATGATATATTTTATTCTAAGTTCTAGCGGTTCGACGTTTATGTAACACTACAGTGTTTTTTTTAATAGGATAGGGTGACAAACGAGCACACAGTCCACTTGATGGTAAATGGTTGCTGCGGCTCATGACATCTACATTTATCCTCAACAAAGAATCAAAATGCAGATGAGTCGTCACCCGTGAGGACTAAGATGGAATGCCTCTATTCCAGTAAAATGGATCTCCGGTTCTCTACACTCACCATACGAAACACAGCAGTGTCAAGCTGCTATTTTACGTTGGTATTCTGTGAAAGCGTGGTCCTTCCCGGTCGAGCCGACCCATTCGTGCTACAACTATACTAGATACTAATATAGCTGCAGCATGGTTCTACCACGTATGGCATGATTCTACCACGTATCTGTTTGACTAACTCGTTCGTATAGTAGTCGTAAGCGCGCCAGCTAATTATGAGATCCTGACTTTGAAACCCGGGTTGGGCCAATATCAGTTATTGAGTTTCACTGTTAAAAATTTCTCAGTAACGGTTCGAAGCATGTTGGCGGTGTTTCAACCTCGTACCTCCAAGAGTACGTAAATCCATAAGTCCTGCGTCCTGATCTCTCTCCGGAATAAAGAGGCACCTGTGCTGGAGCACACACTCGTGCACTAAAATCTTATACTTGCGCAGATGGTTAGTCTCTGTTGTGACTGGCCGTCGTGACCGAAATTCGGTCTGGAAAACAATATACTACTTTAATCTGTGTTACTACACTAACCTAACTACAGTAAAAACACAGAATAAATAATAATACAAGAAAAGTCTAATGGTAAAAGTCTAATCAAAACCTGTGCAGGTTTTTGTTTGATAGGCGTTGAGTCATATATTACGACATTTTCATAATTGCTGAGCTGGCACTTGGCATCTGTGTCGATTATATTATAGTTCCTGTATATTATTAAGATTTCCAAAAAAAAATGTTTAAATTTTTTTTAATTTATTTTAAAACATTAAATTAAAATTTCAAAATAATATTCTATGTACAGAAAATATTATCTGAGAGATTTATTTATTTATTTTATTTTCAAGGACAAATACATAATTTTAGTATAATACATAACACATTATTATTAATTTATTATTATTCATTTAATTATTATTATTAATCTTACAATTAACAATAAAGTTTCCAGAGATAAGTAACTCATCAACAACAAGCGAACATCATGACATACTTTGGTGTGTAGAACTAAAATTAAGTTAAAGTAAAATGTAATATTAAAGTGAAATATAAATTAGGGATGATCGATGTTGCAGAAATGTCGATGATGACATCGATGTTGTCATCAATAGGTTAACATCGATGTTCGATGTTTATCCTACTCATAACATCGATGTTGGCCATTAGCGATGTTTTTTGCACATGTATTTAATAGGTTAGAATTAAACGAATAAAAAATAGTCACGTTGCTTATGGTTTATAATTAATGAAATAAAAGAAACTAATAAACAGTGTAGTGTAAAACAGTTTTTAAAAAAAATTGGAAGAAGTTCACAAATATCTAGTTCATTTGTTATATAGTCCAATATTTTTGCCGATTAATTGAAAAAAATATTGATTTAGACAAAGAAGAGCCTTTCAATCCATTTATCTGTTCATAAAGAGTTTAGCCAGCTTCTAAAAATAATTAAAAATTAAAAATTTTGTACAATCGACTCCAATATAAATTATTAAGGATAACTCAAAAACTATTTGTCAGACTTTGATCAAATTTATATGAAACCATATGAGAAGCACCAGCTTTCAAATAAAAACAAGAAATCGGTTCACACAGAAAAACTTATGAGGTAACACACATTAAAAAAAAGAACTTACAGTCGAATTGAGTACCTTCTTCTTTTTGAAGTCGGAGATAACCGCTGAGTTGGCGTTGATGTAGCGATTGTGGTCAAATATCTCACCGCAAGTTTTTTTTTAATTTTAGATAGGTAGAACCAACAACATTGTTCTAAACGTGCATTGGATCTTGTTTAAGATCAACCATTGGATTTCTAAAAAAACAATCGACAAAGAAACAGACAACCAACAGCGGCACCACATAATAACAAAGCGAAATCAGTGACAACTGCGACATTACAGTTGACACTTGACAATTAAATTTGATACACCATAATGATATATTTTTAGGTTATCAATGCGTTCAGGAATTCTGAATTATTCAAAATTTTAAATATTTTAGAGAGATGCAAGATTTAGTTGATGTTGATTTCGCAGGTTCGCAGTGTTCGCAAGTTCCCAATAATCGATTATGGGTTTATTGACATCGATGTTTCGATGTTTGACATTTGGCAACATCGATGTTAAAACATCGATGTTTTAATTTTTGACATCGATGATCATCGATCGTCTCTAATATAAATTTAAATTTTAACCATTACCCATTACAGTTTCAATTTCCTTTTTAAACTGTTCATATGACAGAGGAAATACATTAACATTTGAAAAAATGTTACTATAAGAATTACATGCACGAGTTATGAAATTGTTCTTGCCATATTTAGTGCTCATTGTAGAAGTACAAAATAAAAGTTTCTTTCTAGCACTTATCCTTTGGCATCTGAAATTTATTTCACTTAGAAATGGTATGGAGTCGACCCTATTATGAATGATTTTATATAAAAACTTCTGATCCCTGACAGTACGACGAGATTTTAGGTCAGAGGCTAATCTACACAAAATAGAGGCATCACTGGCTGATCTAAATTGGATATGTTTCAGAAATTTATTGTGAATTTTTTCAATTGACTCTATATAAATGTTATTATTGTAGTATAAATAATATATATAATAAATAGACAGATTAAGTTTTGCGAGCTTCGTATTGGTATAATTACCATAAAATGTACTTACATAACATGCCCATTAAACACTTGGGATGAAGCTGAATCTAACAAAATTTCACGTTGAACCGTTTAGCGTACATTAGATAAGAGTCGTATCGAAAATCATATTTTGTTTTTATCTAGATTTAAACCAGTTATAAATTTTAATCGGTATAGGATGGAGTATACTGTAAATCTGTTCAGTGTTCAATGAATAAAATCAACTACTAAAAGGTCATCCATTAACCATTAGTTGGTTTATATACTCGTTTGACACTCTTACTACTTTAAAATAGTTAAGACTGAACGTTTACTTTTGTTTTTATGTTGCCTTCTTCATCTTCTCTTACATTAAGAAATAAAAAAATTGTACATTTTAGTTTGTTATGGATGCACCTTATCCTTTTAAATATGTTATAATATTCAATTGAAATTTAATTTTATATACCTACAATTAAACTTCTTTTTAACTTTAAACTGTTTGATTTTCCTGTAGCTAATCCAAATTTCGATATAGTTTAAGGTTTTAGTGCATTTCCTAAGGCTCACAAATTCTTATACTCCAATAATTTCATTCGTGGTAAAATTTCAAACTATCGTTTAGTCAATAGTACTCGTACAATCGCGTTTAAAATATAAACTAACATAATCCCTGAGTTAGGTAATGAAGTGGTATTAGACCGACCTTAAAATCATAGAACCGACTGTATATACGGTGCCATAGGTCAGTTTTTGGGGGATGTCCGTGTTCAGTTTTTAGCTCGATACGCTTTTTCTTATAGGATAAGGGTGATAAACGAGCACACAGTCCACCTGATGGTAAGTGGTTGCTGTGGCCCATAGATATCTACATCTATCCTCGATGACGAATCAAAATACAGATGCGTTGTCATGCCCCTTTTCCAATTAAAAGGGTCTCCGGTTCTCTACACTCACTATACGAAACACAGCATCGTTAAGCTGCCATTTTACGCTGGCATTCTGTGAGAGCGTGGTCCTTTTTAATTTACACAATAAATGATTAATAATTATTAATCAGTACAAGCTATACGGTATTAAGGGTATATTCTTTTGTAGTTGTTTTTTATACATAAAACTAGCTCTTGCCCGCGGCTTCGCCCGCGCAGGAAACCTACCTAAGGAAGTATCTAAGGGTTAAAACTATTTATTGTTTCAGTCTATGCTGAAAGTACTTCTTTATATACTACATTAGAGGTTCTGTCTTCAGATTCTAACACGATCAAGCTGCTAGATGAGCTCACTCTCGAGCAGGCCACGTAAAACTGGTCGTGCGAGAAACAATCCCCCCTAAGATCAATTCCTGCTGTTTTCAGTGATTGACCCTGAGACTTATTGATCATCATTGCGAAACAGACCTTAAGGGGGAATTGCAATCTTTTAAACTCGATTGGGTACTCCGTTGGTACAAGTGGTATCCGTGGTATATACACTGATTCGCCTCGAGCACAGCCAGTAAATATAATGGCCTCTCTTTTTATGTAAGGCTCTCACACGCAACCTGGTCCCATTGTACAACTTAGGCGGATTGAGATTTCTCAGTAGCATTACTGGAACTCCCACTTTGAGGATAAGTGTGTGAAACGTAGACCAGGTGGGTTGAGTGTATTTAGGAAATCCATAGGATAGTGCATAGCATCATCCGTATGCACAACAGTGTCCACAGATTTGTACTGATATTCTTCACCTTCGAACGACTTCAACAAAGTGTCACTAATAACGGAAGCCTGATCGTTCTTAGGTGTGAGAATCGCACGTTTGTACAGCCACTCTGTGGATTTGCTGTGTAAGTTGTGGACATCTGAATATATTCGGGTTATCAGGTCGTCAACGGTCGACACAACTAAGGCAAGATCTGGTGAAATTGTAATTTTGCCCTCAGTTTCCGGATATTCTCCATTCCCCATTTTAAGGAGGAGATCAGAGAATTGTCCAGCGCAAACATCGCCCTTCAAGTACACTCGCATGTTTTTCTTAAGGTAGAGCTTTTTGACTAAGGGCCAAAGATTTGAGGCCTTAATGCAAGTCTTAATTTCGTCAGCTCGAGTTCTCCTCGGCAATATCGGCAGAGTCTGTCGGAATTAGAATAGAATAGAATAATTTTTTATTCAATATCGATTATTACATCATTCTTATTGAAAGTCATTTTTATCTACCACTGGTTCGGAAAATACCTCTGTCCTGGGAAGAACCAGCAAGAAACCCAGCGGGACTTTTTTTTTCAAACATAATTTCGTTTATACAATTTTTAAATGATTTTTCATAGAACCAGCATGGTGGCGATCACCTTATTCCCAGGGATTATTTTCATTCATGTATTCCTTGATATTATAATAACCCTTTTTGTACAGTTTTTCTTTAATAAAACTTTTAAACTTGTTTATTGACAAACTTTGAATATGTTCTGGGATTTTGTTGTAAAAGCGTATACATTGCCCCATAAATGAATTACTGATTCTGTGGAGTCTAGTAACTGGTATTACAAGCTTATGTTTGTTCCTAGTGTTTAAAGTATGCACATCCTTATTCTTAGTAAAGCTATTTATGTTTTTATGTATATACATTACATTTTCATAAATATATTGCGATGCCAAAGTTAATATTTTTAATTAATTAAAAAAAATAAAGTAATTATTTTTTTAAACAGTGGTAGAGCCACGCGGCAGCTTTTGCTGTCGCACGGATGGGCCGGCTCGAACCGGGGTGGTACCACGACCTCACAGAAAACCAGCGTGAAGTAGAGGTTTACCTCTGCGTTTCGCTTGGTGAGTGCAGGTGGCCGGAGACCCTTTCTACTGGAAATGAGGCATTCTATCTTACTCCTCACAATGATATGTAATAGAGGATAGATGTAGATGTAATAGGCCGCAGCAACCACTTACCATCGGGTGGACTGTGTGCTCGTTTGTCACCCTTATCCTATAAAAAAAAATGTTTATTTCTTTAAATTTTTATCTGAGGGACTCTTTACAATTTAGGTTATAAATCGCCTGAACGGCTCCCTTTTGCAAAACAAATATAGCTTCAATATTAGTCGCATTACCCCATAGCAAAATTCCATAAGACTCCACAAGACATGAAAGTAACTAAAATACACTAATCTAGCTGTCTCAACATCTGTGAGACTTCTAATCTTTCTTACAGTATATGCTGCAGAACTAAGTCTGCTTGCTAATTTAGATATATGGGGGCCCCATTGAAGTTTCGCGGCAATAGTAATACCGAGAAAAATAGTGGTATCCACAAGACTCAACTCCTCCCCATTTAACAGCACATTGGTATTCGAATGTTTTACATTAGGTATTGTAAATTTAATACACTTTGTCTTATTGCCGTTTAAGAGCACATTGTTGGCGTTAAACCAATGTACTAATTTCGATAGAGCATTATTTACATCGTCATAATTAATTAACTGCCGTTTGAGTTTGAAAATTAAAGAGGTATCGTCAGCAAATAATACTATATCGTGATTGTCCCCTACAAGATAAGGTAAGTCATTAATATAGATTTAAAAACAGGAATGGGCCAACAATCGAGCCCTGAGGAACGCCCATTGATACTACTGATCCGGAGGAACCTTTACCATTGATCACGACTTTTTGAGTTCTGTTACTTACTCCAGCTAACAACACGGTGACTCCACCCATCATGTCATCGTTCCCTCTAATATATTTTAGAGTTCTGTTTAGTGCTTCGAAACCCCCTTTATGCGCCATCGTGCTTTCGTCCCAAACTATAAGTATACAATCGCGCAGCACTTGGGCAGCATTATTCTGTTTTGAAATGTTGCAAAGTGGAGTTTCGACGTGGATGAGATTTAATGGGAGCTTGAAGGCAGCGTGAGCTGTCTTGCCTCCCTCTAATAGTGTTGCTGCGATTCCTAACGATGCGACAGCTAAGGCGATGCCACGATTTTTCCTTACTTTTGCCAGTAGCAAATTGATAAGGAAGGTTTTTCAAGTGCCACCAGGAGCATCCAGAAAAATATTTTTCCAATTACTTTGTCAATATTGCCAAGGATCTGCTGATAAACGTAAAGCTGTTCATCCGTCAGTAACTCCTCATTAGAGAACACCACTTTTCTCAGAATACCGAGGTCATAATTGGTCTCCCTCAGATATTCTTGATTACCGAAAGTTGCTGTAGATCTTTTTGGCTGAGGCAATCCATATTGTGCCAAGTTTTATCCTGCTTGAGCTAACACTGCATCCTCGATTAATATCAAGCATCTGTTGTACACTTCGTCTATGAGCAGTTGCGCACTATCTTGCAATTCTCTCTTCAGTTGCCGTTTAATGTCTTCCGAGAGAATGTCTTTGGATTACTCCCAAAAGCTTAAAGGATAAGGGAGTTGACAGAAAATTAACATTATTGTAAATAGCTCTCGCAGCTTCAAAGGAGAATCGCACAATGCAGCTTCCTCTAAAGTAGTGTCCCAATGCTTGTCGTCTTCGAGCAATCCAAGAGTCTTACATGCAGACTGAAATGTTGGATGGAGGATACCATTCACAGTCTTTAAGTCTTCAAAAGATGTCGGTCCTCTAACCTTTTGGGGCAGCAGGCGTAGGTGGTAGCACTCGATGTTGTTTGGATGAATGGTGTAGACCCTACCCAGAACGTGGTCTTTTCTCACTCCGGGCCAGCCCTTTACAACTTGCCCTCTTTTCCTTCTAGAAAATTTATTTTTATTCCAGACAAAGTAAGAAGGGACTTCAGAGTACAGCAGTGTCTTGGCATAATTGTCCGTTTTGCAGATTTCAAAAAACGCTAACAGCGTTGTATGAGGTGGACACTTTATTTTTTCTGACAGGTTATTAGAGGTAAAGTATATACGTTGGCGAACAGTGAGATGTAAGGACGGGAGGGAACTTTTCATGCATGGGAAAGCTTAAGATCTTCCAAACTGCTTCGGAACTACTTATGTACCGGCCGCTTTCGTACATTTTCACCTCATCTTTCTCATTCTCTATAGTAAAGGCTGCTTGATCATTACCCTTGTTCACGTATTTACAAATATACTCGATAGACTTAACAGAGCTGCAGTACTCCACATTAATATGAGAATTGAAAGTACGTAACAGGACAGGATTGTAAGGCACCACCCAACGGTTGTCCAACTCAATTTCGTTATTTTTTATTGTGAACCATTGTCAGCTAGAGACGACATCCTGTATTGCGAATATCCATCGTCTCCTGTCTGTGTCTCCTTGAGAAGTGGTCGAGGATACTTCTTACTGCAGCTACCATCTTTCATACAGGGCGATTTGTGGTTTAAACTACCGCAAGGGCCATGTATCATGTTGGCCTTCACAATATCGTAGAGGAGAGGGTCTTGCTCAGGATCAGTTATTTCAGATCTACTAACATTATCAATCTTATCTGGGGTGATACGTTGCTCTAGCCATAGTAAGACGTGAATATAGGGAATACCCGGTTTTGTCATTCGACCGAATATATAAAGCAACGCATCGTCCCAAATAGATTGACTTTGGTTAGAAGAGCCATCATATTTTTCACCTTAAGGTGGAATACCCTGGCTATAATGTCATGGCGATCATGTGACTTTTGGCCAGGTAAAAGCATATCTGTGATGTCTTTCTATCGGGGGTTACACGTAAATGTTATAAAAAGATCAGGGCGGCCGTATTGGCGCACCGATTTTCAAAATTCTTTTTGCGTTTTACTTTTTTGAGACTATTTCGAAATCTATAAATTTTATTTTTGTCAGGTTATGAAAAATCAGGGTAAAAGAAATTATAAGGCAGCGATGCCAGAATTATCGAATATTGTGGAAAATTATGGTACAAATTGTAATAAGTATACTCCAGCACAAATAAAACACTAATTCAAATTAATATTATAATGATGTATTTGAAGTTTGAAAACTTATAATTACTTATGTTTTTATTGGAGTACACCTACTAAGGTTCGAATTGAATACCCCATAGTGGTGAAATGGGAGTTCAGAGTTTGTATTGGGAAACAATTTAATTAATTTTATGTCATATCCGTCATCTTAGCCTTCGAAATAACTGCCATTTTCGCAATCAACGTCCCCAAAAAACCTAAATAACGACACTCATGTCGATTATTAGGTTTATTTACCCCATTTAACGCCATAAGGGGTTGATTTTCGTAAAATGACGAAATACGTATTTGCTTATTTATTTTTGGGAGTACTCCTACGAAGTTTCGAATCGAAATGTCTATTTAATATTGTTTTGCCATATAAAATTTGAACCACTATTTTACCCCTTTAGCGGTTGAATTTCGAAATATCATTCCTTATTCCTTGTATACATCATGAAAGGAAACTGTGCAAAGTTTCAGCTTTTTAGATCCAAGGGTTTGGGCTGGGCATTGATGAGTAAGACAGGACTTGTCTTAATATATATATAGAGGATACCTTTGGTTTTTTACTTGTATAACGTAGTTAGTTTATTCATAAATTATTACTTTTGTTCTAAAATAATGCTTGGAATATACGCTCTTCTCACATTACGTAATGGCTCCGCCACACTACGCTCCTCGCGTTGCTCACCGCTCTACTCATCGAGCTGCCGCGATGTTGCCCTCTCTGACCACACACACACTGCTCTACTCACGCAATTAATCGCGTCGCTCCGGATTAGGTTGTTTGCGTTTACAACGCAATAAATGTTGAAACTGCGGCAGAATGCACGATATATGCATATGTATAGCTAATTATATCAATGTCATAAAAAGAAATATACGTCGTCATTCTCGCCAACGGAGGATGACATCTATTCATCGCAATAGAATGACGCTTCCTTAAAGAGCTCTTGATTCCGACTGAATTCGCGTGATTATGTGGCCGGCCACTCGCGCTCATATTGGTAGTCCTTTGACTCGCGCCCAAAAACCGACAAAACAGGAAGCGATGGGCATAAAGAGGAGCATGACGTGCGGCTTAACGAATATTGTTGCCACACTACGTCTCTGCCTC